GCCTCCAAACCAGTGGCCAGACAACGAAGAAAAAGGCAGAGAAGCAGCAATGCCAGAAAACAAGCTGGCACTAGACAGCCCAGCGGAAGGGTTCTGACTGTTCGAGACTGCTTTCATTTCTTCTACAGCATGGACCTCTCCATGACACAGGCACTGAAACCGAAGCCAATGGTGGAAGAAGGGTCGATACCATAGAGGAACTTCCTAGAGACATGAAAGAGTCAGACAGAAATTCCAACATATTCCCACAAAGTTACTCCGAACGTGCCTGCCTCTCCTGCCTCCCCTCCCACCTCCTCCACCTCTGAGACGGCAGGACCAACCCTTCCTTTTCCTTCTCCTCCTCAGCCTACTGGATGTGGAGATAGGAATGAAGATCTTCACGGGGGTCCACTCCACTTAAAAGAATAGTCAACAGATTTTCTCTTCTTTATGATTTTCTCAAGAACATTTTCTTTTCTCTAGCTTACTTTATTGCAAGAATACAGCATATAATACATGTAACATACAGAACATGTGTTAATAAGCTGTATATGTTGTGTTATCAGTAAGGCTTCCGGTCTTAATAGCCATGCTTCTAGCTGTCAGCAGTTAAGTTCTGGAGAAAAGTTATGCGTGGATTTTCGACTGCACAGGGGATTGGTGTCCCTAACCCCCACGTTGTTCAAAGGTCAATTGTATGTCATTAATATAGTCTAATTTTATTTACTCAGTACTAGACAGGAATAAAACTAATAGCAATGACAAGGGGAAAAAAAGATCAGTAACATCACTGTAGGAAACTTTTTTTTTAGAGACAGGGTCTTGATCTATCTCCCAGGCTAGAGTGCAGTGGCACGATCACAGCTTACTACAGCTTTGAACTTCTGAGCTCAAGGGATCCTCCCTGAGCTAGGACTATAGGGGGATGGCTGGCTATTTTTAATTCTTTTGTACAGACAGACATCTTGCTATGTTGCCCAGGCTGGTCTCGAGGTCTTGGCCTCAAGCGATCCTCTCACCTTAGGCACAAGCCACGGCGTCTGGCAGAAACTCTTAATTCAGCTCTTATTTTCCATCATATTTGTCACATTACTATTCATATACAATAAATTTCATGACATGCCATGATTATTATAAACGTCATCTGAGCATGTATCTAAATAGTAGGAACGATGGAATATTTTTAAATAGTACAGCAAACAGGCTTTTCCTAACCATAAGTTACTCCCCTCTCCCCTTTGTCACTACTATTTATTACCTGTGTTTCCTGGATAGCATGTTGATGAGATGGCTCTTCAAGCAAGGTCTTTTCAAGCAGCAACTTGGAGTAAGTTTCCTGAAGTCGTCTAGTTCCTGATGGTTCAGAAGGAGGCATATTTTTTACTTTAGTAAAAGCTTCTTTCTGTTTCCGGTAGAGCTCTTGTAATCGTTTGTTCTTCTGTTCAGTAGCCTCTTTTTGAGCCTTCTTCTCTTCATTTTGCTTCCTCTTCCTTTCCTCCTGCTGCCTAACAATGTACTGTCGCACCTCATCTGTGTCATAGTGGCGCTTTTTGGAAGTAACAGGGGGATCTTCATTGGCTGTTATTTTGTCAGGTTTTCTTTTCACTGGGCTATGACTCCTAGGAGCTTGTACTGGTGCTGATGACTTTTGATTCTGTAACTCTCCAGTCTCTTGCCTTGCAGCCTGAGCAGTAGAATCCAGCTGTAGGTCATCAAGAATGCCACGAATTTCAACAGGCAAGAAGTCCTTATTTAAGGCAGTATTTTCCTCCTGTTTATTATCTGGAGGAGATGGAGCTAATTTTTTTATATTATTTTCAGACGGAGCTCTGCTTTTCGAACGTTCTGAGCTTCGTGGAAGATGTCTATGTAAAACATCCAACCTGGTATCGGATTCTGCTCTTCCGATATGACCCCCTGCAAAGTATGAACTGTTAATGATATATTAAAATCCTATATTCACTCCTAAGATTTATTGCACTATGAAAAGAATTTCACTGTATCTTAAAAACTCAAATTCAAATATCCTAGTCTTATCTTCTAAAGAACATTATTAAAAGGAAAGAAAAATCCCTTTTTTAATTTTTGGTAGAGACAGGGTTTTACTATGTTGCTTAGGCTGGTCTCAAACTCCTGGTTTTGAGCAATCCTCCCACCTGAGCCTCCCAGAGTGCAGAGATTACAGTTGTGAGCCACCACACCTGGCCAGAACCCTCCCTTTTTAGAAGTAAAAGTAGTAGTAGTAAAAGAATTTCAGTCTTCTGAAAAACTGTACTTCCTTGAGTTTTTTTTTTAATTTATCTTTTACTATTTCTGAAAAAAGGGAAGATCTTATGGTTGATGTGAATATTTAACATTACTATTCCTCTCTCATGTACATATTTAATGTTACAACTTGTCTCCTTCCACGACTTCTCAAAAAAACTGTTAAAAGGCCAGGCGCGATGGCTCACACCTGTATGTAATCCTAGCAGGTTGGGAGGCCGAAGCAAGAGGATCACTTGAGACCAGGAGTTTGAAAACAACCTGAGCAAGATCCTGTCTCTACAAAAAACAGAAAAATGAGCCAGTTGTGGTGGTGCTCATCTGTAGTCCCAGCTACTCTGGAGGCTGAGGCAAGAGGATTGCTTGAGCCCAGGAATTTGAAGTTGCAGTGAGCTATGATGACGCTACTGCACTCTAGCCTGGGGCAACAGAGCAAGACCCTGTCTCCAAAAAAAAAAAAAAAAAACTTAAAAAAAAAAATCAACAATAGAAAGCATCCTATTAACAATTAGAATCAAGGAAATTAAAAATACATTAAGAATCTTAAAAATAATTGTTAAAAGCTTTGCAAAGATCAGATGGAACATGCCAAATAACAAAGGCACTGAAAATATTAATTTTTCTGAAAATTCTACAACACTGATCCATTTGACAATTATATGAAATGGCAGCTAAGCAAGGTGGCTCATGCTGTGCCCGGTGCTTTGGGAGACCGAGGCAAGAGGATCACTTGAAGCCAGGAGTTTGAGGCCAGCCTGGGCAACATAGCAGGACTCTGTCTCTAAAAAAAATTTCTTTTTAAATTAGCCAGGAGTAATGCGCTAGCCTATAGTCCTAGCTACTTGGGAGGCTGAAGCAAGACAATTACTTGAGCCCAGGAGTTTGAGGATGCAGGGAGCTATGATCGCACCACTACGCTCCAGCCTGGGTGACAAGAGCAAAACTCTGTCTCTATTAAAAAAAAAAAAAAAAAAGAAAGAAAGAAAGAAATAGCACTGTATTTAGATGAGTTTATCAGAAAATTTCTGAAAGTTTAATTTACATGTCCTGTGGGAAAAGAAAAGATTAAAACTGGCCTCTCATATGATCACATACAGACTTTAAAAATATCTGTAAAACCAACTGTCAAATATTTTTAAAATTTTTAGTATTTGCCCTATTTTCAGAGAAAAGAGACAAAGTTTAGCATGAGACACAGGAGGAACATAATGTTTCCTTCCACTAGAACGCCTCTTCTGCGTGGCCAGGGATTTTGGTCTATTTGCTTCCTCTGGAGCCCTACAGATCAGGAGTGACTGCTATGTAGTGGGCTCTCTGTGACTATTTGTTGAATAAACGCTAAACCCCTACAGCTCTCCAGTGAATGATGGAAAAAAGCAAATACATAGAAAAACAATCATTTTATCATCTAAATATTTGTTGATGTGGCTTAATTTTAGACTGAGAATACATGTAAGCTTATTTACAAGCTAGATGAAAGTGAAGAATACAGAAAGTATTGTGTATATATATTGACTTCTATATACCAAGTTATAGCTGCAATTACATTTCCTATGAATCCATTCTAGAAGTTCAAATTAATTGGGACACATTTTACTGTTGAAATGGAAAGCTGGCCTGTGGGTATTTATATTTCATGTCCCGATATTAGCGTTCATAAAAAAAGTCACTAGTTCTTTCAAATAGCATTCAAGATACTTAGATAAGTGAAAAGCAATGGACTTGAGGGTCAAACTAAAGAGTTCTGGATCCTACATCAAATTTTGCCACCCACTGACTACATACCCTTGAGAAAAATCATTTCTCTGTCAGAGCCTCTTTCTTAATTTATTAAATATCAATAATTCAACCTTGTGAATATTTATCCATGTTTGTGTATGTTGAGATGAGACAAACCATACTTAATTCTCTCAAGGTCCTAAAAGTCTAATATGATTTGATTAAAATAATACTTTCACATCCACAACGACAGATAAATGTAATATAACAAGGTTCTTAATAAAGATGAATATAACATCCATTGCAGAGATTATCCACAGACAAGCCCAAGAGAATGTTTCCTTTTCGAGCTACAATCACAATTATAAAGCAAACTCCTAACACATTCCGAAGAGTATTTTCACCTTCTGTAAATACTCACACAAGCAACTTTTAATTGTTTTCTCAACAGTTTTAATCATGGCCACTCACCAGATTTAGCAGTTCTTTCTCTTCCACCCCTGTCACCTGATGTTGTTCTTCGCTCTTTTTGCTCCACTCTGGATGCAGGACCCAGAATCTTCTTTACTAACTTCTGTCCATCTCGCCAAGAAGATGTACTTATCAGATGACTACCACCTAAAATATATACATTCCACAGGATTTAAAACTTAAATTTTAGCTCTAAGAAGTGTTATCTACTCAATGATACAGATTTTGTAATTAATCTTATGCTTATCTTCTGCCGAGGTCAAAGGCTTACAATATAATTGTATTTTTGACCCTAAGCTCCCCAAAATGGTTAACTATTTGTTTGTATCTTCATTTACCTCTGAAATGAGCGTAAAATAATGATTCCTGAAACCTCAAGAACCCAATTCGACAGAACAAAAACACGTCTTAACATATAACAAGTGTTTGGTTTGCTGTGTACTAACAGTACACAGAACATGAAAAATACGTATGTTTCCTAAACAAACGAATGACTTAATCTAAGCATAGGAAAAAAATTTTAAAGAAACAGTTAACAGTGATTACCTTGGAAGGGGATGGTGTTATGGGGACTTTCACAATATATTTTACAGATACATGCCCAAAGTGCATACTACTTTTCTATGCATAAAATAACATTTAAAAAGTAAATATCATCATTTTAAATTTCTCTCATTATAAAAGTTCATAAAAATACACGTTTCAATAAAAATAGTTGTTTACCAGGAGAAAAAGAAATTTTCACCTACTAGTTTTGAACTGTAAGAAAATTAAAATTACATCACTTCAAAATAGACAGTAACTTCAAAAAAAAAGATACGAAAGACTATTTACAAAATAGAAAGTATAAAAAATAAACATGAAATAAATATGTAAGAGTATCTAAACGTAAAGCAATATAATAGAACAATAAAAATAATGAAATAGAATTTTAAGCCTAATTTAATTAGAAAAAAATATTTTTACTCTGATAGGCAGTGCTAGTAAAATTACAATAAAATCATCCTACTTTAACATTATTTGTTGAAATATTAAGTGGGTAGAGTTTCTTTTTATAAAACAAAATATAGTACTACCTGTCATGGACCCCAACAGTACTCATTCCCCTTGATCAAATAATCCAACAAACAGAAATTTATGTGAGAGAAATAATCCAAAAGAAAGGAAAAATATATGAAAATGTTGACTGTATCACTTCTTACAATATCAGAAGTAACAAATACTGAAGAATGCTGAATAGTTATAGTTTCTACTAGAATATCGTGTAGCCATTACAAATGACAATTTTCATGAGAAACAACAGAAATAAATGCTCTTGTGAAAAGATGCTGAGAAAACAACAAATTTTACGTATACAAAAAAATGTGTACACAATAATTACCATCGCATGCTATTATGATTTTAAAAACTAATGTAAAGAAATACACAAAGTAATACTAGTACTTTAAGGCAGGGTAATGGTTTTCTTGTATTTTTCTGGCCCTTTGAGATGCTATTTTATTGTATTTATAATAAAAGACATTACACTTAGAGTTTGTTTAAAAAGGGCTTAAATTTAAAAGTTTAAATGAAAATATAGTTTTAATGAAAATAATAATAAAAGGTGAATCATAAATGTGTGCTATTTACTTTAGAAAAAATGTTTTTGCACCTTGTCACTAACCTTATACAGTCTAAAATATTTAAAGGGTTTTAAGTCTATTGCTTAATCTATTTCTAAGAAACTTTATGTTCATAAGCAAAAGGAAAGAGCATGTTTCTCTGCAATTTTGGCTTAATTTTCTGAATCAAAAACAAGCAACCGTTAATACACTGGGTAGTTATTTATACATGTTGGCTTCTGAATATGCTGAGTGGTTATTACTAAATTCTGGCTTTCTGGAAGAGTTTCATGTACTCATTGATAGAAAAAGAAGGCTTTCACTAGATAAACTATTACAGAGCTTTAGCACATTTAGTAACTCTTTGTCTATGTCTTTGCCACAGTGCATGTATGGGAATTAGCCTACCACAAAACTGGATAAACACAATTCAAGGTCAGTGTTCCTAAGTTTTAGTGGTCCCTGTGCTTCATTTCAAACTGACAACAGTATTAGGTAATGCCATATGAAAAATACCTTTTTTAAATACAAGAATTAGTTAACACTCAGACAACTCATTTCTCATAAAATTTTTTTATTTGTACATAGCCAGTGTCACTCTATCATGACATCCAAAGTTAACAATGGATATCACAAAATATGTTATTTGCCATTCTATTGATTAGTGTATGGCAAAAAAACAGGTGCCTGATCAAAACCCAGCGCCCATCGGTCTTGCTCCATATTCCTGTAAGCCCTTGTGATCTCTTACGGTAGCATCCATCACGCCTCGTGGCAACTACGTATCTCCCGTTTTCCTGGCAAGACCTTAAGTTCCAAAGAGGCAGGAGCTATGTGCCTCTCGCTCACCACTGTGTTGCCTAAGCTTAGCACACAGCTCAGTGCCTCATATATAGCCAAGTGCTCAAAAATATTTGCCTAATGAAGCAATGTACGAATTCAGAATGTCTCCAAAATGAAAGTGACAAGTTCCCAACTTTTTCCACTCTTGGCCCAAATTACTCACTAACATGAACATGACATTCTAAATAGCCATCTTCGGTACAGCCAGGAATAATAATTACTATTGTTAATGGAGTCACAGCTAACATTTGAGTGTTTGTCATGTGCCAGGTACTACAGGGAATGCTTCCAGGTATTAACTCCTTTAGTTCTCACAGTAACCCTGTGAGATAAGTGCTACTGCTTTCCCATTTTACATGTGGGGAGACAAAGGCACACTAAAATTAACTCATTTACCAAAAGAACAAAACTAGTTATAAATCTGGGCATTCTGGATCAGTGCTAAATGTTAAGTAATCACTATGGAACTAGAGAATTCTCTTTTTTCCAACCTTCATCTACTCGGAGTCCCACCTAACCACTACTGGCATGGACTACCGTAGTTCTAATGTGCAACATTTATTCTCTTATGAGAACAATGAAGGGACTTAGTGACAGTCATAAACAATCCTCTTGTATTTAAAAGTTCATCATATAAAAATCATTACTTTTAATCTTGTTAACTTCCATGAAAAACAATGACAGAGAAAAATTTGGGGAGTAATAGATGTGTTCAGTACCTTGAGGAACATACGGTGAACAAATGGTTTCACAGATGTACACAATTATGAAAATGTACCGAACTGTACATTCTAAATAGTCCAGTTTTATACTCTGTCAATTGTACTTTGATAACACACACACACACACACACACACACAAAATAATGACACATAAAATGTACTGAATTTTTATAAGTGCCAAACAATGAGAGCCTTTGGTAACATAGTAAATACACGTAGATTCCATTTTAGTAATATGTAACTTTAGGACAGACATGGTACTGAGAAAACTAACCTGTTTTGCATTCTGGACTTGATAACTGTGTTACTTTTTGGACTTTTCGTACTGGCTTGACCACTTTCTTCTCTTTACTTTTTTCAGCAGGTTTCTGTTTTATGGAGATATCATCTGAAAAGCAGAAATATTTATAGCAGATCATACGATGTTTCCCACTACCCATTCATTCTCTCTCCAGTAAGAAGAATCAATATAAAGTACATGATTCAAGTACAGAGAAAGAAACCTTCACTGAGACATTTCTATGACCCACATGCTACCAATGTCAACTCCTTCTACGGAAGAATCTAAAGATTACCAGTACTCCGCAGTTAGGTTCCAATTCTTTGTTATTTTTTTTCAGGAAACTTTTGAGAAATTTACCTCATTTTCACAAACGGGAAGAAGTGCATGAGTAACGTTTTCCAAGCCAGGATCATTGCATTTATAGAATCCCAGAGATGAGTGCTTTCACAAATTCCTATTTCATTCAAAAATTTCTACATAAAAACTTTTAAAAATATAATAATCTTAAATTAAGCCTGTTTATGATTATGCTAGTAAAATATGTCAAGGTATTTTACATACACAATACTACTTATTAAATTTTAAAAATTCCAACCTAGGGGAATATACTACATATACACATAAGTTCAAAAAATTAACCTCAATTACAGGTCTGAATAAATGTACTTTAACAAACACGTAGAGTTCTGCATTCTGGGCAGACTGGAAATAAGTGTGAGTGAAAGGCCCTGAGGCAGGAGCTCCCTAGTATCTATAAAACAGCCAGCAGGTCAGCGTGGGTGGTGTGAACAAAAGGAAGAGGAATAGGAACTAGGGTCAGGGACGTAGCTGTATCATGTAGGGCCACACAGGCTGCTGTAAGAACTTCAGGTTTTACTCAAGAGTGAAATGAGAAGTTTTGGAAAGATTCTGAGCAAAAGAGTGACATCATCTAAATTAAATTTTAGCAGCCATACTTTGGCAGCTGTGAGGAGAATGGGCTCATTAGAAGGGGAGATACAGGGAGACCAATTAGGAGACTATTGGAGTAAACCAGGCAAGAGATTGATAGTGGCTTTGATCTAAGTGGCAGGGACAGAGGTGGTGGAAAGTGATTATATTTTAGATATATTTCAGACGATATTAGACATAAGGTATGAGACAAATGGGGGAGGTGGCCAAGAATGACTTAAGATCTGGGGCCTGAACAATCAGAAGGACAGAATTAACTGACATGGAGAGACTGCTAGAGTAACAGGTTTAAGACGTATATCATCACCCTGTTTAGTTAGTTAGCTTCATTTTGGATACATTAAGCTTCAGATATCTAGCATAGATTCAAGGGAAGACATGGAGTTCACAGTTGGATGTAAGTGTTTGGGAATCAACAGAGAATATATAAAGCCATGAGACTGGATAATTTGCCTGGTGTGTGTGTAGATAGATTTAAAAAAAGAAAGAAAAAAGGAGTGAGTGGAGGGAGGGGGAGCAGAGGACGAGAGAATGAAAGGGAAGAAAGGGAAGGGGGAAGGCGGGAAGAAAGAAAGAAACAGAGAGAGGGAAGGAGGGAAAGAAGGAGGGAAGGAAGAAAGGAAGAAGGGAAGGAAGGCAGGCAGGAGGGAGGGAGGGAAGGAAGGAAGGCAGGCAGGAGAGAGGGAGGGAAGGAGGGAGGGAAGAAAGGAAGAAGGGAAGGCAGGCAGGAGGGAGGGAGGGAGGGAAGGAAGGAAGGAAGGAAGGCAGGAGGGAGGGAGGGAAGGAAGGAATAAAGGAAGGAGGGAAGGAAGGCAAGAGGGCAAGAGAGAGGGAGGGAAGGAGGGAGGGAAGGA